CAAATCATGCCATTTCGTTCTGCCTCCCCAGGATCAAAAACATGCAACATGGAAAACGAACAGATCCTCACTCACTCCAAAAGCCAGCAAGCAGGTTCGGATCTGGGTTAGGCTGGCGAAGCTTTAGCACAGAGCCGCGTAAACGAAGCGTTTAGCACGCCCCTTGAGCGGCGCCCAGCAGGCCGCGAGACCTCGGTCCTGGTGCCTACCTTCCCACAGCTCCGGCAGTGGTGCCGCCGGCGCAGGATGGTGAACGGGGCCTGGCAGGCTGTGCAGTGGTCACAGGCGCTGTCGGGCACCCAGACGGGCGGTCCTGCCAGGGAAGAGACGGCTTGTGAGTTTCCCCCCCCCATACTGTATGTGACGGGGCTGGTGCACTGAACCCATCTCTGAAACCTAGATGGTGTGGACCTCTGTGGCAGAGTCTCTTGGCATGTCTGTGCTTGGATCCCACAAAAGACCTGGGCCAAATCCCAGCAGGGGCAGAGAGAGCTGCATTTTCAAGAGCTGACCTTAAGCCCCACAGCCCACTCTTCTCCTCCTCCTGCTGCTGCTGCTCTGGACTTTCACCCTTCAGCCTCAGTGTGGTTTGACGGGTCAGAGCACACCTGACTCCTCCGGGAAATTATCATGGAAAGTGAAAACCACCATCTAGATGTGACATGCAAGGTAAAATGCTAAACGTTGGGTACAACAGACCAAGCCTTGGCACACGGGAACTGTAGCATCCCGAAGAGCAACTCAGGAGGTTGGGAAAGACCATTTGCAAGGTATCCTTTCTACCCATAGATTTGAATTTGCTGCCTCACGGTACAATAAAGAGAGGCCCTTGCTATGAAAAGTTGATAACATTACTCCTATCCTTGAGTCCTTGCACTGGCTTTCTGTCAACAACGCATGATAATTAAGTCTTACATTTTAAGAGACCCCTTCAGTACTGTATTATAAGGAACCCGAGTTATACAGTACCTCTGGGTTAATGTCATTTATTAACTTGGTTGAGGCTTTTATGGAAATAACCTTACTTTTATGCCTATTAATATAGCAATTAATCGTTTTGCTCAAATGTACAACAGCATTACCTCACCTAGGATTTGAGTCCTCAACATCCCCTTTACAAATCCACTACTTGATACATGGGGCTTTTAATAGACTACAACAACATGTGTATAGGACTTAATTCCTAAGAGTATACAGTACCATGTTGCACTCAAGCATTAGCTGCTCATATCCCATTGGAATCTAAGCCATCATTTTATACAGGTGCCGTTCTGGAAACTGCCCTCCCCTCTCAAAAAAAAAAAAAAACTTAGGTAGCTCAAACCAAACACCAGGAGTCACATTTCTGTGGTAGTAACATTATATCCGAAGATGGCTACATCTGTAATACGTCTTATGTTTCATTTCATGTTAATACAAAAAGATCCTGGCCTAATACTGCCTTTATATACGCGTGCATAAACAGAATGTACACAAGAACACAGGCATATACAAAAAGTATGCAGTTTTAATTTAAGAGAACTTGAATGACCAAATCTGCAAGTGCCCTGAAAAACAAGAAGTAGGTCAGTTTACCTTAAATATCCATGTCTAACAGCTATGCGCCCTGTCAGGTTTAGACCCCCCTAATCCCTTACCTCCTATATTGCCCATGTCTGAAACTCCGGCGTTCAGATCGTCACACAATTCACATTCCTCTGGGCCAGGATCGGGACCTTCCTCCAGCTGCTGGTCTTCCTCCTCTCCCTCTGCTGCGAGACAGGAGAGAACGCACTCTCCTTAGATCCGTCACTCTCCGCTTGGCTCACTCGGAGCCTGGAGCGGCCAGGATGCTAAATTAATTCAGGGCAAAAACGGGACTCGAGACTCTGGCACATTCGTCTAATTGACGGAGGCTTCAATAGCTTTAATCACATTTTGCGAAGAGGAATGCACCAAGAAGGGAATTTACTAGGCTGCAAAAAGCAAGAGGTTTGTGACTTTGATCTAAATTTAGTCACCAAATGGTGACAATCTGTGCTTGTTTAAATAAAACACATAGCAGGCATCTACAATTTCCTTTCCTAAAAAAAGCTGTCAGCTTTCATATATTCATATTGGATAAGGCTGGCCATCAAGCCTGCAAAACAAGCAAAGTGTTTATTGGAGCTCAACGTCTGTACTCAGGAGGCGTTTGAAAAAGTTTCCTGCCCACAACAAGATGACAAGTTTGGCTTACTGTGAGGCGGGACAGAGCCATCCCACACTTCGTCCTGGGAGACGATCAGCTCAAAGACGCACTTCAAAATTGCTCGCATATCGCTGGCAAAGTTCGTCTGGAGCTGGTCTGCAACCCCTGCAAATGAAAAAGGGTATAAGCACTGTCCATCCTATGGGATCTGGGAGCATTTTACATACAGGAGGAGACCCAGAGGATTGAAGTGTTCCACCTGCTTGGGTAACGGGTGGCTGCCATTAAGAACCAGCAGAGCAGGCAGAGAAGTGAGAGATCTGTCCTCAAGGGGGCGAACGTATTTGAATTGAAACTCCTTTGCAAATTTAAGAAATTTAGGGAAGCCAGATTATTGTAAGTCCCAAGAGGAGTTCACCCAGGACATCAGGGTTTACACCCTTTTTGGTTATGAACAGTGCCATGTGATCATTAACGATCAAATAGTCAGTAACTAAATGTACCGTCTCGTTCAAAGGACAAAAAACAGCAGTGTCACCTACTGGTAAACCAACACTGTTTACAGAAACATCCTTAGAGGTTTCCTAGGCCTAATACTTTATCTAATGTAATTCTCAGAAGGTATGCAAGGTGGTAATGCTGCAGTCATTAAACAAAAGGAGCATTACATAAACCTTATTTTTCATTCTTTTTGTTTCATTGAAGCTAAATCCTAACCACTTATTAAATGCCTTGGCTTTAACCCAAACTAAAGGGTGGATTTTAAGATGCAAGATTTAATATGAAAGCCCATTAAGGAACATTCAGATTTCTAAGGCAACAAATTGTATCTATCACCACCTCAGAGCTTTATGCAGGGCCTGGTATTGGAATATTAAACGCAGTGGGTTAAGCGTCTTAAGAACTTCACTAACTTCAGCTGATTGCGCCGAGGTGCATCAATGAAAGCAGTGTCGTTTTTCCAGGACTATAAAAAGGAAACTAATCTGTAGGCTACCTGAGATGCACACAAACAGTCTGTGTATCAGGTCGTTGCTGCAGCTGTACCGAGCACGGAGGTCCACTCTCTCATCGTAGACGCCCGCTTGGCTGGTCTGGTTCTCCTGCTCGCTGCCAATCCTTCAAAAAAAGGAAATAAAGATTTATAAAAATCAAGATTCTGCTAAATCAGTGTTCCAATACTAATGTTAAATTATGTTATTTAAGTGAAGTATATTTTCAACAGCTGGCTTCTTCTTACATGGGAGGAAGACCTCGTCTTATACCTAGTAACTCAGCTGTCTCAATTAAACCCAAACCTCCATCTCCCAGTCACATTTGAGACAGACCCTTCCCATACTCTTCCAGGCACGCTGCTGCTACTTAAACTCAGAACTCTCCTTCAACCTGCGGCTGTTTCTTTAAGACCGAGGTCACCCTTTGTCTCGGTGCCCTGCCTCCCGGTGCATCTGTTCACTCGTTACCTTCTGCCGTCTCCGAAGGGGCGCCTGGCCGCCACAGCCGGAAACGGCTGCCCAGAATGCCAACTGTGCACCATCACTCTGCGCCTCCACTTGCGCTCCCTGGCTTCCGCCTCGGTGTCCGCGCCAGGGCTGCTGGGATAGGGGGAGCGATGGGAACACAATCCAGCGGCGGCCCGACCAGCAGTCCGCCCCGCCTGGTCCCCAGAGCCCTGCGGACCCGAATCCGGCACATGAGCAGGCCCGCTCTCCCCGGCTTCCGCCGGCTGGCACCGCCCCTGCTCTTGGAACCCCGAGCTGCAGAGCGCGCACGCGGCCCCGGGGAAGGTGGCGCCCCATTTCTCATGGGAAACGGGGGACCGTCTGTCACATCCCACGGCCTCCTGGTCCGGAGTGGGGCAGCGAGGATGCTCGGGCCAAACGCCAGTGTCGCTGCAGCAAGGTGGGGGTGCTGTGGAGGAGCAGGGGTGGCTGGGATACGTGGCAGGTGCCTGGCGAGACCCAGGCACAGACGGCGCATCCTCCACTGGCCTGGAGTCAACAGTGGGGTCAGTGCCAGGGAGGGACCCTTGTCCTCCAGTAGTAGAGGCTGAAGAACACAGGAAGTCGCTGGACTCGGCAGCACACAGGTTTCTTTCCAGGACATCGAGCTCCTCCTTGGTCAGGACCCGCAGCAGATCCCTGCAAAGGGATCCGTATCGGTTGATGAAGGAGGTGCAAAAAAGTCAGGAGTCCCCCCCCTCCCCCTCTCAATTCAGAAAGATTGACATTTCAGCCTTTTTATATTTTAACGCTGCACAAAGACAACAGAAACATTGCCATAAATAACATTTTTATGAACATTAGGAGCAAGATGGTAAAAAAAAAAGTTTCTAGATCCTAAGGAGTAAGCACACAAAGTCATTTGTATGAAGCAGAGTATTCCTTACAAAAATAATCACAAGTTTCTAAAAAAAAAAGTACAAACTTTGCCAGATGACTTTTTTTTAGAAAACTGAGTGAGAGTGCATTAATGCATGGCACTTTAAAGAAGTCTAAAGAGGAAGCAGTAGAGGCAGCTGGATGATGAGCAATGCAGTGGGGCAGGCCAGGCCACAACACCCCGACTGACCTGATTTTCAGCAGGAGGGAGTAGAAAGGGCTGAAGAGGCTAGACATGCCCTCTGGTCCATGCTGGAGGTTCAATGGGCCATCTGGGAAGATCAGCAGGCCACTTCGTTTACAAAGAGAGGGAGAAAGGTTCATTCATCAGGAAACTCCACACAGCCATATCAGGCCATTGTCTGTGTAAGCGGTTGATAAAAACAGGCATTTGTGTCATTAGATTTTTTTTTTATTGGAAATCAAGTATTGCAACGTCTACAACATTGCCAGTGGTGTTAACTTTCTGCTTTAAAAGCAGATGAGTGCTCAATGAGTTAAATCTGAAATTTTGTTTTACAATATCTAAAGTGTCCCAGGAACCCTGATCTACAGAAAACAAAAAAAGAACAAAAAATATCAATGTGTCTTTACTAGTAGCGATTTAGACTTCAGTAGCGGGATGTAAAAAAAAAAAGATAAAACCGGTTGTTTTGAGATTCTATATCAAAACACGGAATGGAAAACCAAAATTGGAGCATCTTAACTTCAAGTACAAACTGCAGTGAGCTGCACATTTAACGTGCTATAATTTCATATTTTCCTTAGCCTGTTTCATTCACTAAAACTGATGCCTCTAAAAATTAGATTCATTCACAAATAAAACAATCCAGGTGTTTTTATAGCATAAATATGTAAATCAGAGTACATATTTTCTTATAACTGTGTACAAGTGGGCTATTTTTTACAACTTAGGACAGCAGAAGCATCATTCCTTCTTGTTGTGCAGAAAGAAATTTCACTGAAGACTACACAGATCAAAGAGCAAAAAAAAAAACATGCTCACCAAATTATGGCCAGTCTGGGGATGGTGAACATCACCAGTGGTTCATAGCCATCAATCAGCTCCTGGCTTAAGTACCCCAGTTTCAATGCTCTATAAAAGGAGAGAACAGAATCAACTGACAGTGGCTTCATTATAAAGTGGTGCACTCGATATTCAGATAATTATTGTAGCCAATGCAAACGGCAATAGGCAAGGAAAACATGTTGCTAAATCAAGCACAAAAGTGATTATATGGTCAGTTTATAAGACTACTTATACTGTGCTACTTTGAGTCTTGTTTAGTTTGACGCTAAACTACTGTACAAGAGATCTCCAGTTAGTCAACCTGTGTAACTAAAGGACTGATAAAAACTTTTGGAGTGATTTAGTTTGAGCATGTCCAACCCTAGTCTAGGAGACCAAAAGTCTCTCCAGGGTTTTCCCCAAGTCTCTAAAGCAGCAGCACCTGGGGTTGAGTTGATCTACATTTCAGTCCGAGTCGGAATGAAAACCTGCAGACACCTGCCCTCCAGGACCAAGACTGAACATCCATGGTTAAGAAAATCTGGTGCATCAGCTCAAATTAAATACCAAAAATATTTTCTTGCCTGCAGAAAGACTTAAAATGTTGAAGCTGGATATTTATGACACATTCATAAGTCATGACATCCTTGTGTCTTGTCTGTTTTTGATATAGACTTTCTAAAACTGAAGGTTTAAATAAGATTCAAAATAGAGTATCCGGGTTTTCCAGAAGGTCCATTTAGTCTCACCTCTCCACAGTCTCGCAGAACAGCACCACGATCTCCTGCTGCCTCTGTAGTTCCTCTGCCGACTTCACTGGAATCACCATGGAAATATAGCTGAAAAACAAAGCCCCTTTCAGCACCACACCTCTCACAACCTCACACCTCCCAGGCACACTTGTGTTCAATCATAAATAAAAGGAGTCACAATAATCAGCTTTCCCATTAAAAAAGTTCAGGATGTTTGCGCATAGTGGCAAGTACAGGCCTGAAAAACACTTCTCTTACGTTTGCCTGAGGGCAAAGCTAAACCACTTCGCTGACTTGCTCACGGTGCTATTGTAGCAGTCATGTCTAAGACGCATCTTGGTAAAAAATGTAGTTAAGTTACACACATCATGAGTACAGTATTACAGTCTGACAAATCATCTAAATAAGAAATGGCCAGGTAGCCAAAGCCACAGACTTTAATTCATGTCTCTTTCTCTCGTCACTCAAACGATGAGGTAAAATTAGCAGACCTACAAATAAGATCTGAAACCAAGACATGCTTATTTCATTTTCCCTGTTCAACGACCAATTGCATGATGATCAAACCATCTGCCTTGCACTTTTTCCTAGTCATTTAAGAAAACCACACGAAGCAAGAAACCACAATGACGGCACAACGAGCTTCAGTGCGCTCATCCCCAAGGAACCCCAAAATTCTCCGTTGTTCCCATGGCCTGCATTTCAGAAGGGGGAAAGTTCAGACGTCAGTGCCTTCATTAATCCAATGTGAGCAATCCATGAAAGCCACAGCCAGTGGTATTTACCTCCGTCATATCAGCAAACAAGTCTAGGATGCAGTTACAGCATGACACAGAGGCCACCACTTATCAGATTCAACCTTGACGGTTCAAGGTTGCTCAATGCACAAGACCACAATGAGTTGAAAGGCACTGGTCTGAAAAGAGCAGACAGTTTTGAGGTTGACAGTTTGCCAAGAAAAATACTGCAAGCAAGCGACAAAGCACCTTTTGAAATCCAGAAACCTTTCAATAACGAGTTTAATTAAACATCAAGGTTTTTTCAACGCAATATGGGGGGAGGAGATAACACACCCCACCACCACCCTTGCATGGTCATCATTACAGCAGGAGTAAATGGCTGCACTGTACTGAACAGCAAATCTTCTGTTTTCAGCAGCAAGTCACTTCTGCATCCCTAAACCTTTCGCAATACAAAGCTTCTCCACACTATTTCATTCTTTCATTAAAATAAGTTCTGGACATCGCGGCTTCTGTCCAAGAGGAAAAGAACAGCCGGGCCGATCAAAACCCTCTCATAGGATCCTGGAAGACAAGCCTCAGCGTCCTTTACACTAAATCTACGTTTAAGAGCTTGCAAGCTGGAATGAACTACTCCAACGTGAACGGCAAGCAGGCAGAGAACCGAAGGCTCCGACGATCCGAGAGGGGAAATAAACACAAAGAACCAATATGAATGAATACAGGAATTAATTTCTACTTGGAGACCTGCATTTTATTACGCTAAAAACCACAAGTCGCATACGATTTTGAAAGGGAAAAAAAAAAAAAAAGACATTTTAAAATTGAGAGACGCGACAGCTGCCGGCACGAGGCCACCAAGAGCAAGGGGCCGGCGGCCTCCCCGTACCTGAGCTCGAACTGGGCGAAGACGCGGTCGTACTGCAGCAGGGCCTCCCGGAGCCGGGGGGAGTAGCCGCGCGGGTCGCTCAGGCACTGCTCCCTCATCCGCAGCCTGGCGTCCTCCAGGCAGCACAGGAGCTGCCCCGCCAGGGGGCGCAACAGCAGCCCCTCCGACTCGCGCACCTCCAGGAAGGAGCCCACCAGCAGGCACTGCGGTCGCGAGAGAGCGGTCAGCTTCCCCGACAGCCGCCAAACAAGGCAGCGTGCGGGGCGGAACAGGGGCTGCAGAGGTTTGTCCCCCACCCCCCCCCCCCCCCCATGTCATGTGTCGGGATGAGCACTAACAAGCCAAAAGGGCAGGTGTGCTTCCCGTCAGTGGCTACTGGCTACATACTGTAACTCTGCACCATTCTCCCCAACTCCCGGCCCAGTAGAAAAACAGGGCCAACGTATACCAGTGTACTACAGAAGAGGTAAGGAGTGAACACATGGGACCTCAAACTTTACAACAGGATCAATAGAATATTCTATATTTCTTAAAAAAAGGACCAGAATTAAAATGAACACTGGAACGTTTCAAAACGTAGCACGAGGGGTGGGTGTGGGGACAGGATGACGCAGCCAGATGGGTGCTATGGCTGCGTTTACAGCTCCACGGAGGACTCCACAGACGTCTCCCTCACCTCCGCCGCGAACCACAGCTGCACGCCCAGGTTCTCGTGAAGGATCTCGTCGGGAAACTTGACGTGGTAGTCGCGGCTCTGTCTCTGCGCCGAGATGCAGTCCTCCATCACCAGCTCGACGGCTCGCAGCACGCGATCCTGCCAGGCGGCACAATCACAGGGCTTGGTTCAATTTGGACTTCGGACCTAAATTACTTGGCAGTTTAACAGAGCAAGGCACCCCTCGGTAAAGGGCAAACGAGTTCAACACGATCAGAGTCCTCGTGGGTAGGAGTGCTCGCCGGCTACCTGGCTAATACGGAGCTGGTTGAGCAGCACCAGGTACTTCTGGGGGTCCTTCCGCAGGTCGATGCCATTCAGCTCTGCTGTGACACGGGTCAAGTCCTCATCAGCAAAGTAGAACTGGGCCAGCGGCCTCCGGTCTGACCTCTGAGAGGGGAGAGAGCACGACAACTGATGAAGGCCTCCACTGCCCATGGAGCTCATCCACGTGCTGGGATGCTCCCTTGACCCAGACCTCCAACAGCATTAAGAGCAAATTAACAAAACTAAATCACAGTATAAGAAGAAAGTCCACCCCCCTGCCCTGGACGAACACCTTCGCCTTAAGTGATTCACGACTGTAATGCTTGCTCGATCAAAGCAAATTGGGGAAAATGAATAGTTCAGTTACGAAACAAGTAAAGTATCCAGTCCCCCTACCCCAACTCACAGACCACATTTTGACCTAATAAAAGAAAAAAAAATCAGATTCTAATCTTCCATCTTTATAAATACAATATTGTGGCTACAGATTCAGACGGCCGTGGGGTGCCCCAGTTCTGCTTCAGAATGTAGCAGATCCATTGGCTTGCAGGCCATGTTGCCTACAAGCTCAGACACATCCTCCAGATCTGTGGTGCTCTGTTGTAGAAGCCGTCAGGCCAGAAAGATAGGAATGCGAGTAGGCAGGTGTTGACCCATCCCTGCAGTTTCCTGTGAATCAAAGGCACGGTCTGGGAAATGCTACAGTCATAGGGATAAATGTGGATGTATATGCATAAATGCACATATTTTAGTTCCATTACACCATCATTTGTGCAATCCATCCTCGCCTCCAAGCCACAGAGCACAGGCCTGACACTAACAACACCAGTGACGAAAGTAACAAACCACTTCTCGATTCCAGGGCCTTCCAAGAAGGTCAGATTACAGCTGTTGATGGAATAATGGCATGACTAATGTGTACACTTTCAACATGCAGAAAAAGCAACAATCAATATTCACAGTTTCAACAGCTGGCTTAGTTTCATTAAAAAGACCTGGAGAGGAGCAAGACTCGTTTCCTTCTGCATCTACGCGAGCGAATCTGGCATATGTCTTTCTTAAACAGGACCCAGCAGTGCAATGAGAAACACAATGGAAACATCCTTTCAGTGCCAATGCACAGTACACACAATGTCTGCTTCTGGATGAACAACAGGTGGTTTCTTACAACTCATTGAAAATGAGTGCGAGAACTCCATGCCCAAGATACCCCAAGATGACCCCTAATCTTCGAGGGGCCCCATCTAACATGGTGTAAGATGTGTAACTGGTGTAAGCAAAACCAGGATACTGCCCATCAGGGATACTGAACATAGGTCTCACAAATGTGTTTTTGTTCCTCTACAAGGTTTCATACATTTAAGCATCTAGCCCAATTCGAAAATAATTGGTAATCTGCCATCCAGTCAGATTTCAGGTGAATGTTTTAGTAACAATATGAAAAGGAATTAAAAGTGCATGTCGATATATTAAGGTGTTGGATGATTGTCTCCAGATTTGAAACCACTCTACCCCTAACCCCACATTGGTTTAAAAAAGGAAACTGAGTTTTGTTTAAAAGCAGGGGGCAGAGGGGAAAACTCATCTTAAGTTGTGGAAATTAAATCTTAAAATCTGTGGAACTGTACTGCACAAAAGCTTTAAGGATCTCTTGAGCCCATAAAATATTTAGTATCAAAGCTCAATACTGTGGAGTCAATAAACCCCTCAAGAGTGTTGTGGCTCAACAAGTTTAACCACAGCCAAGGAAAACAAAGAACTGGGCCTATCTTGTCTGCGACTGACTGCGGCAGCCGACGCTGAAAGAACAGGCTTGTGTGAAAGGGAGCGATGTGGATCAAGGCAGGTTCAGAAACCACAGTCTGGAGACTGTAAATACCATTGCATCACACGCCGCTGTGCTGCGGCTCAGCACCACTCCAGGCAAAGTCTGGAGAACGTGAGGGAATCCACACATTTCCCCAGCTCTTTCCCAGCGCGGCCTTTGTTTTTAGGGACAACGGGGCAAAAATCCGGAAAGAATGCGAAAATGGGCTTGGATATTTCAAGCCGGGAACGCCTTCCTTTCGTACAATTCCACAGCCAACAAACCTAGTGGTCCCCAGACTGACATTCCAGAAAATCCCATAAAAAAAACAGCACAGAACTCTTAGACCTTCTGTTCCTAAATGTGTGCTTTCCTCTTGGAAGCAGCACACATTTTCCCCAAATCGATAACGAGGCCGCCGAAACGTCTAGTATTCTTTTGCTCTTAATTCTGGGTACTGGGGTAAACGCTAGAACAATTTGGGAAGGCGAATAATTCACATTCAAGGTTCAAATTCAAATGAAAGCCAATATTCGGCCACTCA